TCCCTTCCAGTCTAGGCCATTCTATGATCTGTAATAAAAGCTAGAGGAACATTCCAGATATTTAATAACTTAATTGCTAAACATATTGCACAAACATAAAGCAAGTCACTATACCTCAGGTTTCAGATCTCTGTGGACTACGCCAACATCATGCATATGGCTCACCGCTGAAACAAGTCTGCGCATAATATGACTGGCTTCAGTCTCACTGAAATGTTTCTTTTTCTGAATACGTTCAAGCAATTCTCCTCCCTTCAGCAATTCCATTACGAGAAACGTATGAAGCTGAAACAATAAAGAATATGGCATGTTAGAAATGTAACGTTACAAGCCAACATTCATTCAGGAGCTAGATGCTATTCTGATAGGTTATCAGAGTTTGAAGAAACAAAACTGCTGCTCACAGCAATTCAGAAGACCAGTAAGAAGCACTAAAGTGCGTTGCAGATGACATTTTTCCACCCGTATTTACTTACAACAATGCAATGCTGCCATGTAAATGGACAAATTCATAAGGAGACAAAATGCCTTTTTCTTTAGGCTAACAAATAAAGCTGGAAAAAGGTAGACTTTTTGCTGTTCACGCCTGTTCCGATCTAGGGATATGTTTCTAGTAAAATGCATAGGAATTATTAAAATTACAAAATCCTCTTAGAGTACCCTGATACTTTATTGTGAAATCAAAAATTGTCTAGAATGTCTTCCAATTTCATGTCCTATGGAGTAGAAGCCAAAAACACTTTATCATTAGAATCACAATAGATATCTTCCCAAACATCAAAGAGTTCCTTGACTATAAGACAGTATTAGTGCACAATCAATGGGAACTCAAAACGCCTTGCAAAGAAGCAAAAGGCAGACTTTTAGGACAGGAATGCGAAGTTAACATTCTCAAAAGGCCATGGATGCAGGCACACGATGGCTTCTAGCACTTCCTTCCCCTGAACAACAGTAACAGACATAATATTTGCAAGCAAAGAAAAAAGTTCCATGAAGAGGTCAAAAAACGATATTCAAAGTAGCAGTCAGCAACATAAGGTGAACAGTATTTAGATATCAAGGAATAGAAGTAGATCTATCACACAGAAATCAGTAACACATCTTAGAACAAACAAGGTTATCTACTAGTCACATTGCTAGTAGTACTTGTAAATATCCTCTCCTGCAAATTTTCTTTATGTCTTGGGAATGACAGGAAAGTCAGAAAGGATAAACAGATTTTTCTCTGCTAGAAAGCTGCTGGTGGCTCACCAAACCAGACTGCAACCCACTACTCAGCAGTTGGATTACTAATGTCGAATTTAATCAGACTTAGCAGAGCAGGTTAGAAATGGGAATTTTTTTATTTATTTTTTTTTTGAGACAAACCACAAAAATGTTAAAACTAGAAAATTTTGATCAGTTCTGGCCTTCAGAATAATGTACATGAGTAATTTGGAAGATAACACCTAGGAGCTACAAGAAGCAATTAAAAAACACAATAGCTGGTCTGGCTGAGAATAGTCCATTCAGTTGTAATCTGAAGAACTTTTTTTTTTTCATATATTCCTGAGTATAGTCATTTTACTGAAAGAAAAGTGAAAACAAGTATCCTGTTCTACACACTTACTCATTCTGTACATAAATACTTTTATAAAAGCTTCCATAACATTAAAGATTACAGTACAGATCTTCCATCCTCCCAGCTCATTTTAGAAGTGCTTCACACGAGCACTCTGCTGGTCCTTGTATAAAGAGCACGATGGGGATAGACTGGGATACATGGGGAAGCAAGAGAGCCTCTGTTCTGTAGCAAAACCATAGACTAGAGTCACAGAGTACTTTAGGTTGGAAGAGACCTCTGCAGAACACGTGTTAGAAATCTCTAGCTCAAATGAGGGCAAATCCCCAAATTAGATCAAATTACAGCTTATTGTATGCTGTGGAGCTTGCATTAGACTTAGGAAAAAGACAACTGAGGTCTCTAAATAAACCTTAAACTCAGTGTATTTTCAAATAGAGGCTCTGCTTTCACATCTGGTAATTTAGCAAGCTACTTCATTATCTCCACTAAGTTACACACCTAGCTTTTCTTTTTCTTACATATTAGTAATCTTTGTATGCAAGATATCCAAATTATTTCACAAATACTGTTTTCCTTCCCCTGGAACTGTCAGGAAGTACCTCAGTATCACAGACATGGAAACTGGGCCATGATTACACTATAGGACGATTAATGAAGTAGACCAAGGACAGAACCAGAATCCAGGGCTAATTCTTCCAAATATTTTTGTGATTTGCAAGAATAATTGAAACTTCCCTTGAATGCACGACTCCTGCTTCATCTATACTGGCTAGGCAAAATTCCTAGGAAAAAGGCTGCCACCACAGTAACAGTTAACTTAACTCCTAAAAGTTCTTAGGCAAACACATGGCAATGTGTTGGCAAGAGCTGATTATAATTTCTTTAAAATACCTGGTCATGATAAACTTCATGTAACTTCACTACATTCGGGTGTCCTTCGCAGAGTTTCAGAGCTGTTATTTCTCTTTGGGTGTTGGCTTCCATTCTGGAAAAATTGAGCAGTCATTTTGTACCAATTTTACTGAGGAAATTGCACATTCATAGTGTTATACCTATTTTTTAAAATTGGTTGCAACAAAGACTTTTTTCATATTACAATTGCTTGAAAACAATTAAAAGCATATTCTAAGTAAGCGGAGCATATTCTAACTAAGCAGAGCAAAACACTCCATACAACCCTGCAAATTAGGACATTAAAAAAAACACACCCAGATCAAACAATGTTTTTGATGCAACTGCAACTTGCTAGAGCAAAAGCTGAAATGATATTATAGAATAGTTTCTGTCTAAAACAAACCTTTCCCTTAGTCCAGGGCAATTTGACTTCACCTCTGTTCCTACAAATATTGGTTAGTTCAGCTTTATCACGAAGACTCAAATTATTGGCCCAATCCTTTTCCATTCTTAGAGCATATAAATACTTCCAAAGCTATCCAGAAACTATGAGCTCCTACTTGAGGAAAAAAAAAAAAAAAAGAGTAACTTCATCTATATGAGAACTGTGTTATATAAACGAACCCTGAAGAGGTCATTGTAAAAATATGAAATGGAAGAGATAAGAGATTGGCTCCCAGGCAAAAAAACATCACACAAATTCTCTTTCAAGTACTGACACCTATAGTCAAAAGGAAACACTGTGAACTTCATAAAAGCTATGTGAATGAGGACAGAGCACAACATTTTGTTTTCTACTAAATATGTAAATATGTAGATTTATTTGGGGCAAATAGTACCTGAAAATTGTTGCCAAAACTCTCTCCAAGAAAGGCTAATCCTGCACTGACTTCCAGAATGGCCTTATGGATAACACAGGTAGAATGTCTCACCACAGGTGTTCTTAATTTTTGGTTGCATTTTTCTGTCTTTCTGCATGCTTCATACAATCAACAAGCAAACTAAGCTGCTTCACCAGCAACTCTGCTGATGTTGTTTTTAAACCAAAAGTGATTTCAGTTCCTTAATAAAAAAAGACTCAGTCTTTCCCCCTGCATTACTACCAGAATAAGGTGGACCTAGGAAACAGATAAAAAAGGTTCAGTACTATGAGCACAAACATTTGAAATCTGTGCGTATACTTTTCTATAAATAATATTTATAATAATTTATTACTATTAATAGTTATCGTCTCAGATTTTAAACAGACAATATAATGAAAAACAAAAGGGAGGTTCTAAAACAGTAACTCAAGCAATTTTACAGGACTCCACTGTTTCACTGGCCTTCAGACACCCAGATAAACCTCAAATTGTTGGATGGAGGCAGGTCCAGCACTACTAACAAGGCAATGTCACAGAGGAACTCTTGATCTGAGCTTTCACCTCAAGTACTACGAAAAGGTTTGCCTATGTGTGTGATTCACTTTTTTCACACCTCTGAGGGGTAGGCATGAAAGACTGTCTAACTTTGAGGCAAATAAGTTATTAGAGACCTACTACAGCTCTCCTTTTAGCAAAAGTTATAGTGTGGTCCTCAGAGCAGTATTATTCACAGTTTAACAACTTCTTATTCAAGGCTGGCTGGTGTCCAGCTATTCAGAGCGTGACCTTACCACTACCTGCAAATACTACACAAACACACTCTGGGTCTGCTCGCAGCCTGAAATCCTAAATAAATCTCTGTATACAGACCACTTCTTACCTTCATTTAGCCTGGTCCACCAAGATGAAGGAGAAAGAGCTAAAAAACCTGTGAGTAATATCACTTAGGGGCGTATTTCCTAAAAGTCAACACTAGCTTAAGATGAGATGGGAGGACTGATCTGCAGCTCTGCATGCACCACAGGAAAAAATTTTGAATGTAGACAAAAGATAGAGATTTCCAGATTAAAATACCAAATGTAGGTGTCTACTGTGTATTACTTGTCTAAGGGCTCATTATAATGAGCAAAATTCTAGTTAATGAATCTTACTACTTCACTGTAAAATACATACCTAGAGTAGGATTCAGTGACCTAAGCATAGGAAAGCCTGGAAGACATCAGCCATGAAGACATCTACAGAAAAGGTAGTAGTCACAAGACTGATGGGAACTGGAGGACAGAAAGGACACCAACAGATGCTGAAATGGCACTACGCAGATGCCTATGTTTAAGTTACTGAATCCTACTGCTAGCACCTGGTCATTTGAGTCTGCCTGTAGGCTCCACTAATAGTTCTGAGTAGGCCTCCATTAATGGTAGCAGAGCTTAGAAAACTGACTCAAACACCTATATTTAGGTGTCTTATTCTTGAACTTATCCTATCCGAAAAGCATGTGATGAAACACTTAGGTCTAGTAGACAATTACTTCTAAAGTCTGGAAAAACAGAGGTACAGCCAAATGTCTTGGAGAAGAGATCACTGTGAACTATCATTCTCATGGCAGAACACTTACACTTTCCTTTCTTGCCAGTGTTCTACAACACACTAGGGATATATTTATTCCCCTCAAAGAATCCCTTAGCTTTATTTTTCTCTGGGCAGAAATTGACAGAAGTATCTGTTCTGGAAGAGGACCAGATGGTCCCCACGTAGAAAGCAAGTCAGCTACCTCCACTGTGGTGTTCTCTTCAGAACATTCAAGAAACAAAATGCAACTTGCAATTCTATAGTCTAATTCCATTTTACACACACAATTAATTAGATCTGAGGCAACTCACACCACAGATCTTTTTTAACGACAATGTCCTAGGTAATCAATTGGGCTGCTTAGGAAAGGGAGCTAGCATAAGCCTACATTCAGTTCACTTAGGTCTAAAGATAGGAGGGCCTTATACCTTACTCTGCCTTCGAGCAAAATAAGGGCAAATTAGGGTAGGGTACAACTAGTAACTGGAAAAGTACTCTTTTGGTTTCTTCTTGTGTCTTCCCCAACAAGAACAACATTTTGTTTTAAAAGACTCTGAGAATCTTTTAAATGTCATAAGTTTCTGTAGATTCTTCAAATAGGAAATTATTTTAAAGTTATTTTTTCACTTCCAAAAACGTAGCGAACATTATTCTAATCCATGGGTGACAGTAAGCAAAGAAAATATTTTTAGTGTCTTATAGAATATTTATACCTTTTGCTAATTATTTTTACTGCATACTCTTGGCTAGTTTTCTTGTGTAAGCACTTTCGACAAATGGAAAAACTTCCTTCTCCCAATGGTTTCTCTTTCAGATCCAGTTCATAATGATGATAAAATGGAGAGTCCTGTTAGGAAACTGTCTGTATTTAGTTCTGCAGAATACTTTTAGTATATACAGTCAAAGACAAAGAATAAAGTTTCACGAGAATTTTTCATCTGCATTTAAAATTGTAGAAGAGCTATCTTCTTGATAAATTATCATCTTAACTTCTATTTAATAAAATGCATAAACTTTATTCTAACAATCAAAGCGTAAATCTTACATTACATTAAACAAACATAATCACTAAATAAATCATTACTAATACAATAGTTTAGGATACAAAATATTCAGACAAACAAGATCAAAGATGGCTGTACATACATTTATCCACAAAACTATGTGCTCGTTTGAGGACATCACAATAGCATGTGTTCTTATAAGGCTTCACACAACTATACATACTATGGGGCAAACACATCCTAAAAGGATTTCTCGTATAATTGAAGTAGATTCAAAAGTATCTACAATGGTTGGCTCAGTAAGAACCATCAGGAGTCAAATTACTATTACTACTATGCTCTGGTGTTCTGGAAGACCAGATAATCACCTAATTTTTCAGATTAAACTTCAACCACTTCTTAAGAGTACCACATGCAAATTATATTTTTGGATCATTGAAGGAGCCATTACAGAGAACAGATAAATGAATAACGATCATTTTGTAATCTGTACTCTAGTTTGTGATTGCTGCTTTGAAAGTGACACGCAGCTCCAAGTTAATCAAATTAATTCAGCTCTTGATATTAACATTACCTTCATCATAGCACTTCTGGCAATAGTTGTAGTTCCAGGCCGCTCATCCCCCATATAAAATTGAAGAGGATCTACTGTAGCTGCATTGCGTTTAAACAAAATAGAAGGTGCAACGAAAGAATACCCCTATGAAATTACAAAAAAGCATGGCGTGAAATTGCTGCACACAATCCTACTGCATACAAAGCATTAGAAGTTTCAAAGAAATCAGAATTTTCATAACATAATACAGAAACCATAACTGGCTCACTGATGGGTAGATATTACTGTGTTCAATGTGAACAGGTTATCTTCCTGGAATTCCTTGTAGGATTCTCCACAGTTATAGATAAAATAAATGAAAAAAAAAAATATACAATCTAGTCAGTAATACTAAAAATATGGCTCAGCTTCAATTGTTTGCAATAGTGGTAAGGGCTCATACTTCAAACTAGCTAGCTTCCCAGAACACCTTTAAATTAAGGCATGGAATATTTCTAATGTTGTGATGTAAGCATTAAAAAATTTTAAATGGCAAAACAAAATAGGCATTGTATTAATGACTGGGTATTAAAACAAGACCAGCTCTGGCTACCACCACAAAATGAAATCAGATAGTATTATGCCATGCATATATGGCTTGCTACAGCCACTACAAATCTAGCAACTTCCAAAATATGATGCTATATTCCTCTATAGTAAGCATTAAGCTGCTCAGACCCCAAGAATAAAAAACAACAAAACACAAAGAGGGGGAGGAGAGAAAGCAATCTGAACTGCTGTTCACCGCTGCAGCTTTGGTACCAAGTTGGCTGCACATGAGCTGTTTCTGCTCGTTTGATGTCCAGACTGTGCAGTCCAAGAAGGGATCGTTCTTCAATAGCCCAGAGGAAATGATCAGGAAAGCTTTGCTACTGATCTGTATATAGTAGCCTAGCAATCAGAACACTCCTGTAGGATGTGCAAGGCCTACTTTCAGCTGCGCAGTAAGCTGCCTCTTCCCAAAGGAATATCTCGACTGCAGCATAATGTGGACATGGGCAAACTACACTGGTGGTGTTGAAGCTGGTAGCCCAGGCTGGGGAGTCAAAATGACAAGACTCATAAGGAGCTAAGAACCGATAAGGACAGACTGTCGTTATTCCAGGCAGGGAGGACATTCAGCTAGGAACAGCAACACACGGCATTTTATGCTTGCAGTAGGACTGTTTCCATCTTTCTCATTTTGCAATTGCTGAACAAACAGCCCCGAGAATTGAGATTGGATATTACATAGTTAATTCCCAATAACTTAGAAGGTAGGATAAAAAGAGGCATCTATACATGTGGAAGTGCTCAATAAATTAATTTTTTTAAAGTTAATGTGAATTTTTAAAATACCTGAAATATTCTTTCTGAAGTCTGAGGCGTAGCTGCAGGAGAATACGTTGGATCCATTTCTGTAAACTCTTCTGCAAAGTTACTGACATCCAACTCATCTCTGATTACAGGTTTAAATGGAGCTGGTACTTTTTTGGCAGCCAAATCATCCCAATTCATATTCTAAACCAAAACAGGAAAATAAATTTGACCACATGAAAATTTAACAGAAACAGATACCGGAAAGAGAGACTTATCTAGAGCTACGAGGATGGTCAAGGAACTAGAATATCTCTCATATGAAAAAAGACTGAGAGAACTGAGGCTGTTTAGTCTTGAAAAGAGAAGGCTGAAAGGGGACCTTATTAATGTATATAAAGACCCGAGGAGTGGGGGTCAAGAGGAAGGTGCCAGTCTCTTCACAATTTTGCCCAGTAATAGGACAAGGAATAATGTGTGCAAGCTGGAACACAGGATGTTCTGCCTCAACACAAGAAGAAACTTCTTTCCTGTGAGGGTGCCAGAGCCCTGGCACAGGCTGCCCGGAGAGGCTGTGGAGTCTCCTTCTCTGGAGACTTTCAAAACCCCCCTGGACACGTTCCTGTGTGACTGCCTTGGGGGATCCTGCTCTGGCAGGGGTTGGACTAGATAATTTCTAGAGGTCCCTTCTAATTCTGAACATTCTATGATTCTATGACTTGTCCAGAAAAAAACAGTCCTAATTCCATTCAAATTATGCCCTACTAGGTAAAATTAAGAAGTATCATATGTACATAGATAGAATCCAATTTAAGAAAAAAACAAAGTCAAAGAAATTCAACAGTGGAGATAAGTCAAATAATTAGGGTAGCAGCCCTTACATTTATTCCTCTACTTCAGAGGAAACAACATTTTTATTTTGTGAGTCATATTGCATGCATGCACTATAATCAACTTTTCTTTGCTGGTTTCTATGCTTAATTACTAATCTCAGCTTCCAGAGTCCCAAGAGTATAACACTTCTGGATTTTTACTTAAATGCATGGCTAGAAGTTTGCTAGTAGTATCACTACTGTTTAAGAGTGGAACTGAAATGAAGTCAAGGTTAGAAAGTGTTATGAGGGGAAAAAAAAGTAACTTTCAAAACAGCGAATAAACAATGTTTAAGTCTACTTTGATAGACTCTCGCATAAGAGGAAGGAGATACAGAAGAACCGAGAAGAAATCCAGAAGTTAGAAAGACAAGATATTGCCCATGCTGAATGTTACAATTACATTGAAAATATTTATTTGAAAGGCTTAATTTATATTAGCAGCTTTAAATACTTCAAAATTTTATACTGATTAAAAATATATTTAGCCTCAGGAGCATCAGAAATAGATACTTAGTTTTTTTCAAAGAAACTACACAAACCATTTTAATCACAATGGATGGAACAGCACAGATGCTATACACAAATCCAATCTTTGTCACTGTTTAACACCAAATGATAATACAGTGAAACCTGACCAGAATTCAAAACTACTAAACAAGACTAAATATTTAATTAGGCAAAGGAAAATCAGAAGAGGTGTTTATCACTAATGGTGAATTTTATCAATAATCAAATTTTACTAATAATGTTAGTGTTAAACTTTGTTTTTTAAAAAAAGAAAACACACAATGTAATTTAAGTGTTTTCTATTAAACCGAGTTTAAGTAGTGAATATTTTGGCTGCTTCAAACAACTGTTAGAAACAGACAGAATACATTAAAAATCTACCTTCCCCTTCTTTTAGCATATAAAAAATCCACATGAATAAACAGATATTCTTAAAATCTACCTTCACCCTCTTTTAGCATATAAAAAATCCACATGAATAAACACAGATATTCTTACAAACAACAATGCGATTAACAATCTGTTAACATAGTGTAAGTGGTATCTGGGGAGTTTTGTTTGTTTTACCTGGAAAAAGGGATGCTGTTTGATTTCGTCAGCATCAGTGGGACCACAACCCAGCCTCTTCTTGGGGTCTTTCATCAGAAGACGCTGAATTATATCCTTAGACAGTGCACTCATTTCCTGTGGATAAGGTGGCTCACTTTTTAATATTCTCCTGTAAAACAAATAGCACAACAATTATTTAGTAATTACTTAATGTGATAACTGTTAAATGAAAGAGTTACCACACTAATGATAGTGTTTCACATTTGACTTATGTACCAGAAGACAGGAGGATGACAAATGTGAAGTCAGCCTTGTGGAGTTTTTTTTTAAATAAAGAAAGATTTGAAGAAATGCAGACATGAAACAACATCTGTAGGAGATTAATTTTGTAACTTAATTCACAAAAGAAAAACAGTTCTCATTTCATACATACTGATCTTGCTATTACTATTCAAAAGGAAATCTCATAGCTACAGCAGATAGCTCCACAATGACATCAACATGTCCAACAGCAGTCAAAAACCTGACCGAAAATAAAAAGATACACCCTTGGGCCATTTGAGGTTTGCTTGCGCTTGGCACACTGTGTGCAGCGCTCATGTCCTACTCGCAAACAGACATCTGAAAAGCTTTAGAGAAGTGAAATAAGGTTAATCAGAAATGTGGAATGTGTTCCTTCATAAGAAGATCTACAAAAAAGGCCAGAACTATCCAGCTTAGTGAAGAGTGGACTGAAGTGGACCGGGCACAGTGCTCCCCTCAACATGACAAGTGGTAAAGAGAAAGCAGATAGGAACCTTGCTGTCTCTTTCAATACAAGAACTAGAAGCCACCAAATTAAGCTACTTAGAAGTTGAAAACCTTGGAAGCCTAACTAGAATCACATTTCATTACCTACCTTTTATATGTGTAGCTCCCATAGTTTTAAATACAGAGGAAGGCAAGTTTTCCTTTAGTTACTCTAAATAGAGGTGCTGAAGCTAAGGACTTGCCCACAGCAAGCGTGTTGGAACTAGATGATCTAACCCAAACCACCCTATGATTCTATGACTCTGAAGGAAAATTGAGAATGCACAAAGACAACAAATACCAAAAAACCATCAATAGGCTTTATAAGATACACCCACAAAACCCTGTAGCATTCAGAACCACAGAACTGTTGAGGTTGAAAGGGATCTCTGGAGATCATCTGGTCCAGCCCTCCCTGCTCAAACATAGTTACCTACAGCCAGTTGCCCACAACCATGTCCAGATGCCTTTCTTTATCTTCAAGAATGGAGACTCCACTACACCCATGGGCAATCTGTGCCAGTGCTCAGTCATCATCACAGCAAAAAAAACCAAAGTATTTCCTGGCCTTCAGAAGGAACCTCCTGTGTCTCCATGTGTGCCCACTGCCTCTGGTCCATGCATGGGCACCACTGGAAAGAGCCTGGCTCCTTCTTCTTTGGCCCCTCCCTTCAGCCGTTTATGCACATGGATGAGATCCCCCTGAGCCTTCCCTTCCCCAGGTGGAACAGTCCCAGCTCTCTCAGCCTTCCTGTCGTGTTTCGGTTCCTCAGTTGTTCTTAACAGCCCTTTGCTGGACCCTCTCCCGTGTGTTTATGTCTCCCCTGTACTGGGGAGACTAGAACAGGACCCAGTGCCCTACGTGTGGCCACACCATTGCCGAGTACAGCAGAAGGATCACCTTTCTCAACCTGCAGCCCAGGATATAATTTTGCTGCCTTTGCTACAATGGCACGTGACTGGCTCACGTTCAACTTGGTGCCCATGTATCTATGTGCACATTCTCACTGTGCTGACTTAAGGAAGCATGATACATAGAGTAAGGACTCAGAATGCCTCCACTAAACACAGACTGAAAGATTCTGAAGCTATGACAACCTGTGAGGCTGAAATTATGAGGTTGTAGCAGCACTAAACCCTTAATTTTTTTATGTCTCTGATGGAGCTGATTATTGCAGGACACTTTATTTGTTTGAAGTTACTACATGACATGTGCTCAGAATCAGCAATCCCATGGGAAATTTTTTATCTTAAAATATGTAACTTCTTGGATTACTCCAAAAATAGATGCAAAGGGACTGCTTCCTTAATAATCTTGTCCTGCCAGCGTGGAAGGACAAAACCAAGTTCAAAATGCACACATCCCAGGAGATATGTGCATAGTATCCTGTTCCAAGGAAACAAACCAAGAGGCTAACTTACTTTGTCTATTTAAGTAACACTGAAATGAGTTAGAAAAATACAGTCTGAGTTTTAAGAAGGATTGTATCTTTAAAGAATTCAAGGATGATCTCCAATAAGGGTCTAAATCACAGTCACTCTGCTTAGCAGAAGTAACAGTAACTAAGCAGAAGTAACCTCTGGACACGCTTACAGAAAGAAGAAAGCACAATATTGCCAAATGATTTCTTCATTAGAGATGTTAACGTCAAATTTAAATATCATTAAACAAGAGGATTCTTACACTGTAGGATTGATGGAGAGGTAAAGATTCAGCCTCTTCAGAAATCATCCAGTTTCAGAAAGGGAAAGCAGTTAATAAAGTAAGAAAATCTTCCTGTTGTAAGACAGAAGACAGGACATCTTGATAGCAAAATTACTTAGTTTACAGAAGGGCCAATAAAATCTACAGTTTCTTCTTAGCTTGAAAATCACTTCAGTTAGAGGAGTCCAATGAAATGTATTTATCAATCTTTCTGATGAGAAAGTCCAGAAGGTATATCACAAACACCCTGGAAAGAGACAAGTTCTGTTCCAACACTCAGAAAGGGGGGACGAAATCCCACCCTAAGTCAGTATTTTTTAAAATCATTTTCTAAAGCAACGAGACTGAGACTTCAGGATGTCCTTAGAATCCAAAAGAGAAACTCTAGAGCATTTTTCTGTCTGAAAAATGCCAGAGATTACAGATGGCCAAGTCAGATAAAAAAATGAAAGTATCTCTGAAAAAGAAGCTGAAGTGGGATAATGAGTAACATGAGCAAAGATAAATGCGTACGATTTCTCTACATAGCCTCAGAAGATCATTCTCCACAGCAGTGATGCTTGTAAGGGCTAACAATAAGATTCTTGCCCATGTCTGATGTAAATACAAATATTCACATCAGAAAGAGGGAAGAACAAACATAAGCAGTGGAATGTTTTTTACAGAATCCTGCACTGCAAAGTTACCAAAAAATTCTTAGTCAAAAGGAGTACTTACACAGTAAGAACACCAGCAAGTCTCACCCTTCTAATTGCAGATTTCCAGTGACATACCATGTGTCTTTGGTCAGCCTGAGAACTGCAATTAGTTGTACCATTGATGCGGTACCTAAGCAGAGTGCTAGGTGAAACTGAGACAGGTTTATAAAGTAACTTTTTAAATTACCTGACATTCTGCTCTTCGGGTCTACCCAATGACCAAAACCCCTCCTTAAAATTCTTGTTGTAAGGAATCCCTTACAAAGATTACACCCGTCAAAACAATTAAAATACATATTTTGCCAACAATAGTTCAGTGTAACCCCATATTTTACCTAACGTTAAAATTCTGTGGCCACAGCATCAATAATTCCTGTCTTTTGCCAAGATTGCTGTTTTAAATATTTTGGTTTTATAGGCAGAATTAACACAAATTAAGTAGGTTTTAGCTATATGAAAAGCAAGCTATGATTATATTGAGGGATATCTTCCAACCGCTGAGCTTCCTAGAGCCCCCTGCAGAGCAGGCAGCATTCTACCACGCTGTACAAGTGCACTCCACTTAAGCTGCATTTGTACTTGCCAGTGGCATTCGTTCATAAATATTTTTGAGGTTGACTGATACTATAAAATATTCATGATGCTCTGGACTGTTTCACAGAACCACACTACAGAAGCGATCAAGAACGCAGTTAATTTCTATAGAACTTCCAGGAACTATGTAAAATTATAATGGTACTGAAGTATATGAAGCTGTATACACATTAATTAGGATGGAAAGCAAGCTGCCAGAAAAGAAAGACCATATGAGATCAACACGTGAGAGAGCAGAGATTGGTAAACATTAATCAAATAGCTTGATCGAGTAAAGAGAGTCTGGCTTCACTAGTACGGCACTAGTGAACTGTTGTATGGAACGGTAATTCACTCAAGGCTCTAATAGCAGCCCATAAAGCATTCAGAGAAAGCTTGCTGTATGTGTCAAAGTCTTTCATGGGCTTGTCTATGCTTCTGAAAAGAAGCTATAGCCTTTAGCATCAACTTTCGTTTCCTTTTCTGAATCACCTCTGTCTTACCACATATTTCATGTTTACAAGGTGCAGCAATGGTGACAGAAGTAAGGAGGAAGAATTAAGCATTCCAAGTGGCAACTGTGGACAAAGCTAGTGAAGGACTGTTCTGCTGCATTTTCTGCTTCTCCTAACCTAGTACAACCTGTCTGAGCTTGGATGAGGAAATTACCCCTGCTGGTGAGAGCACTCTTGCTGTACCAAAAACAACTTGAGAGAAACCATCCCTTGCATAGGTCAAGGGGCTTACCACTTTGAAGCCCTGGATCATTTCCATCCTACCCTTCTGCAGGCAGACTATGCAGAGCTAAAAGCTAACCCCATTGGCATGGCTCTTCAGGAACTTAAGCTCCAATGACTTTCTCCCATAAATACTACAGACCAAGAACACATACGATAATGTGAAGGACATGCTAATGAATGATAAGGCATAGGCGGTGCTTAATCTTCAGTGAGGAGGGGATACAGCAGGGAAATTACACCTTGACCATTAGACGCTCCTCCTCTTTACCAGTATCTTTCAGAGTCATTCCTGTTTAACAGGTGCAGGCTTCTGAGCAGCACTAATCAGTGAAAGAATTTGCTGATCTTGTTATGAAAAATTCATAGAGTTGCTACCACTCGTAGTTTAATTACACAGACCGACCACAGGTCTCTTATCTCTTCCTTACCAAAGCAGTAGAAATAGGGTATGCTGGCTGCACAGAAGGCACTGCATGTAAAACCAACCAAAAATGAAAGAAACATGTGCCAAAGGCTTATACTACAACGACAGTCCAAAGAGAACTTGAAGAGGATTCTGACCTCATTCATTTAAGGGTGATAATCTTAAGGA